AGGCCTACTTATCTAGGGTGATCTGGGTTTAATTCCAGGTGACCAGCCAAGTCCAAACAATGTCCCTTTGCAATGCAATGCCAGACTGTTTTTTTGTTTTTGTTTTTTAAATCGAAGTTTTCCCAAGCGTGGCGACTTAAAAGACACATGGACTTCAAGTCCCAGAATTCTATGCTGGCTGGGGAATTCTGGGAGTTGAAGTCGATGCATCTTCAAGTTGCATAGAAAACTCCGGTCGAGGTTGGGAAAACTCTAGATTTAAATATTGCAATACGGGAAGATATTCCAAGGCTGGTTTTTTTTTTACTTTCCAGCTTTCTCGCCAAGACTACCTCCCCCTCTTTGGGGCGAAGCTTCCTCTGTTTTTAGGGTCCTCCCCTCCCCCTCTCAAAAAGACAGGACCCCCCTTTGGAAAGATCGCAAAGCGCCATCGAGGAAGAGGGGGGGAGAGGCTTACGTTGCCGAGGGGCTCCCGAGTCCTTGGCGCTCATAGCTTTCCCCCAGGGACCCTTTCCACCCCGCTTTCCCAGGGGGTCTCGGGCTCCAAGTGACAGCTCAGGCACCTGGTGGGTGGGGAAAGCTAAGATGGGGAAGGATTTGCTGGAGGGGAAGAAAGGGGAGAACAGGACGGCCAGATCGGGACTGCTGAGGAAGGGGAGCAGGCTTCGAGCCGGCGGGGAATACGCCCCGACGGGCGAGAGACGGACAGGGAGGTCCGGAGACACCGCGTCGAAAAGCGGTCCCTGCCGGGTTGCCAATAAGCAAACGTCTTCGCAGGAGAGAGTTTTCAGCCTTGGACAAAAGGCCGTTGCTGACGGGTCAGGGGGCAGCGGAGCCACGTTCCCCAAGCTGGGAGGGTGGGGAAGGAGAGAAGAGGGTCCAGCAGCCTGCCCCCTTGCTGGGGGGAAAGGGACGAGGAGACCCCGAGGCCGAGGGAGGAGCTGGTGAGCTGCAGGCAGTTGGGAACGAAGGACGAGAAACGCAGGAAGACGCCGCGACGTCAAGAATCCCGAAAAAAAAAAAAATAGCAACCGGGGTTTGAGACAAGAACCAGATGGATGGAGGATTTTGGGGGTGGCGGGGTGGTGAAATAAATATTGGGGAGCCAGTGGAGAACACGAGGATGGTGCAGAAAGAAATAAAAGTGGGGGTGGGAACAGCAGCAGGAAAGGGGTCCAAAAGCCAGGTGCAGGTTGCAAAGACAGGAGGGAGGGAAGGAAGAGAGAATATGAGAAGGAAAAAAAAATAACCGTTAATTTTGGACACCACAATAAAACAGACATATCATTGGGTGGGGGAGGGGGGAGGCGCAGCCCACCCACCCACAAAGCCAACACCTCCACCACCCCACACTATTTGGAAGCCTGGAATTTGGACTACAATCCCCTTCATCCTCGGCTGGAGGACAGCTTCCTGATTACTCTCTGAAGCCCAAAGCAAAGTAGAAATTGAGAGGATGGCGAGGGAAGTATCCCTGCAGGAATATAGAGGTTAAAAACAGCCCCCTCCCATGCCAAAACAAGGGGGGGCTACACTCTGCTTGCCCCCCACCCCCCCACAGCATCATCACACCCCACTAGGGATTCCTGAGAGGACGAGAGCCAAGCCACCGTTAAACCCTGATTGTTTCCTGCTGACGAAAGGAAGCAAAATTCAGATTACCTTTTTTTTTTTAGTGTGTTTGTGAGGGGCAGGAAACTTCCTCTGTTTTTTTTTTGAACAGGAAAAAAAAAAGGCAGCTAATTCGGGTTCCTGAATTCGGGATCTCTCCGTCCCTCCTGCCAAACCCTTCCAACCCCTCTGGCTCCTTAAATAAAGGCAGGAAGCGAGCTGGCAAACAACATCCAAGTTTGTTTTGCCGGAAAGGTGAAGAAGGTTCGGAAGCAAAGAACAACGAAAGAGAAAGTGAATTCCCGGAGAAGCAATTTAAAAAAATAAAAAATTAATCCACTTGCAGGGACGATGGGAGGAGCATTCAGGAAAGGAAAAAAGAAGAAGAAGAGAAAACAAGGAAGCAAAAAAAAATCCAGCCAAAAATCACCAGCAAACTTCCTGGTTTGTTTTTTTAAAAAATATTATTATTATTAGTATTCATTATAATCATTGCCTAACTATTATATAATTGCAAAGTTGTTAACCAGTTGTTCAGGCTGGTTTGGG